GGTTTCGGTCTTGTCGATTAGCCTTCCAAAGTGTAGCAACAAGCTACAATTCGTCAAATAGATCCTTCCCACGACCAACATTTTGCTGAGCGCTTATATCTCCATTTTTATCCTAGCCCATCCAACTATTCCATATCCTTATAGCTAAAATTTGCATTCACAATTTACAGGTAGTCTCAAAACCTACTCATTATGAGCATAGTTTTCATATCTTTGTACAAGGAAAATTGACTGAGTTGTCTTTGAGCTATGGAAGCCTCAATATGGAATAAAAATCTTCATGTTTTCTAGAAAGTCTGATTACTAATGAAAAATTGACTAGTGAGTAAGTTTCGATTCCCGTTTAAGTTGCTGATGAGGCCCAGACTAGGCAGAAACTAAGGTCCACTTTGCATGATAATACCCTTTTGGTAGGGAGGTTAGGTAACCTTAAGTAGACCTGTGAGACCTACTCATATGATTGCGGGAAAAATTAGCTATCATTCCTTCCTCACCCTAGTTTCGACTAAGAATGACTGATAACTCTTAATATAGATGATATTCTACCCACGCCAAATAGAAGAAGAGGCCTTGTGTGACATTGAATTTCGCCACACCACGCATCTCAAAAGGCTGTCCTCAGCCAAACAGATATGCAGGTTCAGATATGGTTGAGACACGAATACCAAGGGTCCCTCGTCCCTTGCCGCTTGATATAATGCCTTGTCTCGCTACTGAGACCAAAGCCCAATATATGGAACCCCATTTATTTGGGCATCTTATTGACATTACAATAAAGTGTAAAGTAAATTTCGAGACTAACAGTAGGTGATTAATAACGAATAGTTGCATTTTCCCACAACGATATGAGTAGACCTCATGTCTCTATTTAATTCCTCTTATCCTTGCTTTCCGACTGAAGTGGACTGCAGTTTCGACCCGGCTTAGATTTCATCACTGCCCTCAGCGAGACTCGAAGCTAGGTAGTGCAGCTTTATGTAAACACTTTACCACCACGCTTGCTGAATGTCCTATGAGGCAGGAGCATTCGTGGCAATGCGGCGGGATGGTAACGTGTCGAGATTATACCCTGCATTTCCCGGGTTCGAGTCCCACCGGGGGTTCTGATTAGACCCATTCGAGGTAAAAACTGCAGTTTAGTCCAGCCGGGGTGAGAACACCTTTTGAGGATCGTGATTGTGGGAAAATCTTCCTCAGTCCTTTATCACCTTTTGCAGCTTAGGGTGACCAGAACTCTTATAAAAACGGAGTAACCGAATAGAGATCGAACTATCAAACAAGCCGAACTTGGTACGTTGTAACTGCCGTTGGCCAAATTATCTGATCACATGCCACCACTTTCCATCCTCTCCGCCTGATCAGTTTGGTCACCGATTCAACCTCCTCTCTGGGCAACCGGTCTCTTGCCATGGCAAAAGTGGAGTCAGTATTTGCGGCCAAGGCATGTCCAGAAAGCTGGCAACATCCTTCGGTACCTGGTCCAACGGCTTTGGCTCAGTGACTCCAGGCCTGCCCTTTACCAATGCTAGCATCTCCATCACAACCACCGCACAATCCAGTACCAACACAAACAGCAACGCCAACACCAGCATCAACACCAGCGCCGGCGACGGCAGCGGCACTGGCACCGACAGCAGCGATACTGCAGCTGATTGCGGTACAGTAAACAGTTCATCGAGTTGCCAGCAAGCAGTAGGCTCTGGGGGCTCTTCCTTTGCCGCCAAGAGTCCTCATTCAGATCTCCCTCTCAACGCCACTTTGGGCGCCAAAACGGAAAAGCCAGACTCCATCGGCTCTTCTGGTCATATGGACGTCCGGCGTACCGGTATCGCCAACTCTCCCCCCTCCCTCACGGCCGGACAGAGGCATCTGGCCTCGGGTTCACACGAGCCGCCGGAGACGTCAACAACTCGTCCCATCCGGCCTCCCCGATGCTCTGGTTCCTCACGAGTGTCGACTTCGAGCCCGATCGCCTCGACCGGGGCCGGGCCTATGTCGGTTCAGGCGGGTGCCGCAACGACGGCAGCCGCGATGCAACTGAAATGCTCCAGCCCGGGCTGCTCCTGCCAAGCCTTCCAACCACAGTCGGGCTTGCCACGACACTGTGAAATTTGCAAGCATTCGTGGATATTTCATGGTAAGTCTGGATGTCGTTAGGGGATCATATCTGAAATAACCAAAGCAACACGTGTCTGCTGTCCGACTGGAAATGTGATGCTTACTGTAGAAAAAGAGAACGCTAATGTGTGTGTCTCACTCGTGTCTTAGAATGTGTAGAAAAAGACCTAATTTGGGTCCAAGAACAAACGATAAATGAATATAACTCGTTATGGGGACCTTCATTTCGAATGAAAGTACATGATGAAAAGATTCGTTTGTCGATCTCACCAGATGAGGACGGATGGAAATCGTTGTACTGCAGCTGTTTAGCTTTTATATTATATTCATGTTGACGCAGTCCACGAGTATTCCTCC